ATTTTGTGATATGCTAACCTCTATATGTTCATGAGGCAGGATAAGTGTGGGGTATATCTCGAGTCACAGCCTTACAAGAGGGCATGACTCAAGGGACACACTTATAAGTCCTACCCTTGCTTGAGTCAAACCATTTATCTTAACCAAAAGTCAAACCAAACTCACTGCTGTTGAGTCGGTTCCAAATCACAGCAACCCCTCCTTGGGTTTCTGAGGCAGTATCTCCACAGAAACAGATTGCCTAGTTTTCCTTCCAAAGAGTAGCTGGTGAGTTTGAACTGCCAGTCTTCTGGTCAGTAGTCAAATGCCTTAGGCATTATGCCACTTAGGAGAGATAAAAGGAGAGAGAAGCAAACAGAGAGTAGAGAGACCTCACTACCACCAAGAAAGAAGAGCAAAGAGTGCAGCACATCTTTTGGACCTGGGGTCCCTATGCTGAGAATCTCCTAGACTCAGGGGAAGACTGATGCCAAGACACATGGAGACCTGCAAGGAATGCCAGACCCACAGATGCCGAAAGGAGAGAAGAACCTTCCCCAAGAGCTGACAGAGAGAAAGTCTTCCCCTAGAGCTAGTGCTCTGAATTCAGACCTCTAGTCTTACAGTCTGTAAGAAAATAAACTTGTTTGTTAAAGTCGTACTTGTAGTACACTACAAGTGTAGAAACACTAGACAAGTAAGACAGAATTTGGTACTGGCTGAGTGGGGTGATGCTCCAACTGATATCTAAAATGTAGAAGTGGTTTTGGAAGTGGGTAATGAGTAAAGACTGGAAGAGTTTTAAGTTGCCTAATAGTAAAAGCCTACATTACCTTGAAGAGACTATTGCAGAAATTATGGGTGTTAAAGGCAATTCTGATGAGGGCTCAGAAGGAAGTGTGGAGAGCTATAGAGAAAGTCTCCATCATCTTAGAGAATACATATGGCACCAGCAACAGAATGTTGCTAGAAATGTGGATGGTAAATGTGTTTCTGGTAAAGATTTAAGAGAAAATGATGAATATGTGATTGGACAATGGAAGTGTGATGCTTTCTATGCAGTACCAAAGAACTTGTCTGAATTATGTTCAAATGTTGGGTGGAAAGTAGAATTTGTAAATGATGAACTTGGATATCTGTCTCAGGAGATTTCTAAGCAAGATCACACGGTTTTTCTTTGCTTCAGAAGGAAAGAGATGATCTGGCACAGAAAACAGTTTTCTTGATTTCAAAATGTGGGGTCATTGTCTTCTGGATTTCAAATGGTGGGACTACAGCTTCTTATGTTTCAAAGAGTTGGTTCTTCACCAACTCAGTTTTGGAGCATGGGGCTATTGCTAAGGTGTTTCAAGGGGATGGGGCCACTGTCCAAAGCTGAGGGAGCAGGGCTGCCATGCCAAGGGGCAGAAGAATGGGATTTGCTGGGGCCAAGGGGGTGGGGGTGGGGGCACCACTCAGATGGAGTAGGAGAATGGGGCTTCCCAAAGCCAAGGGAACAGATTTGCCATCTCTGTGTGTCTGGAAGGTGGAGCTGTACCCTAGGGCCAATCCAGAGGGCACGGCCAACACCCAAAGTGTGGAGGGCAGGGCCAACGCCCAGATGGTCTCAGAGAACAGAGGATTGTTTCCAAGCCTCAATAACTAATGTAAATGTTCTGCTGGGTTTTGGACTTGTCGCTCCTAATCCCTTCTTTCCCTCCAACCTCTCCAATTTGTAACGGAAATGTCCACTTTGTACCTGCTCCATCATTGTCCTTTAGAAGCAGATAACTTTCAGTTTAGATTTTACAGATTCACCGATGACCAAGAATATTGCCACAGGGTAGAATATACTTAAAGTCTTGTCGATGTTTCATTTAAATGAATCAGAAGATGCGATTTTGGACTTGGAGTCAGTTTAAAAAGTCTTTTGCAGTTGATATGATGGGGGTGAATGTGTTGTATATGTGGCAAAGACATGAATTTTGGGGGGCAAAAAGTAGAATGCTCCAGATTGAACTGTGTTCCCCCAAAATACATGTCAACTTGACAAGGCCATGATTCTCAGTATTGTGTGGTTGTCCTCAATTTATGATCTTATGTAATTATATGGGTTGTAAATCTTAACCTCTACATTCTAATGAGGCAGGATTAGTGTGGGGTGTATTTTCAGTCACAGCCTTACAAAATGGCATGACTCAAATCACACCCTTCTCATCCTTACTCAAGGCATACCCTTACTTACATCACACCCTGTTTAAACACACCCTTGTTGAGTCACATCTTTTACCTTACCAAGAGATAAAAAGGCAGAAGCCAGCAGAGAAGAGCAGGGCCTCATTACCACTGAAAAAGAGAAACTAGGAGCATAACACATCCTTTGGACCTGGATTCTCTGAGAAATTCCTAAACCCAGAGGAAGATCGATGCCAAGACACACGGAGATCTTTAAGGAACCAGGAAGCAGCAGATGCTGAAGAGACAAGGAACTTCCTCCAGAGCTGACAGAGAGAGAACGCTTTCCCTTAGAACCAGTGCTCTGAATTCGGACTTCCAGCTTCCTGGTAGCATAGTGTCTAAGGCATTTGACTGCTAACCAGAAGGCTGGGGGTTCAAACCCACCAGCCACTCCTAGGAAGGAAGATGGGGCAATCTACTTCACTAGTGATAGTGCCTTGGCAACCCAAGGAGGGGTCGCTCTGAGTCGGCACATAACAACAACAATGAACTGAGAAAATAAGTTTCTGTTTGTTACAGCCACCCACTTAGGGTACTTTTATTACAGCAGCACTGGACAACTAAGATAGGTATTATTTTTATTTTATTAAATATTCAGGAAAACTAATGAGCAAAAACTTTATTTTTAAATTTTATTTTTTTTGAGGTTATAATTTCATAAACTCTGGGAATTAAAAATATGCAAGGATTCTCAAGTGCTCATTTTATTTTCAAATTCTCCTTCAGCCAAGACTGGCTGCAGAGCAGTCGGTTCTGCTTTGCATGCCTTTTAATCTTGAAATTCAGAGAACTGGTTTCTTTTTTTTCTAATTTTTTTTCTTTCTAAGTCCTACTCTTCACAAGGAAGCCAGAAGTGTGACAGGAAGGTGTGATTTTTAATTTACACCAGAGCCTTGCAAATAATGACTTTTCACACCCTGCTCTTGCAGCTTAGCCTAGGGGAGGAGTTCTGTGGCTACTGTTATCCAAGCAAATTAAATCCACCACTGTAATCCAGAAAGACATGTCTTCTATATTTAACCCTTGTTTTCAGTTTGTTCAACTTGGTATTTGTGAATACTTAGGAGAAAGTGGCTTATTGCTTTGAAGTATACTTGTTTTCTAGGAAATGATATTTGAAGTCTGTTATCTTTCCACATTGCCAGATATGAAATGGTAAACACATTTATTTTCCATCTTTCTGACCATGACATTAGAAATGGTAACTTATTTAAATACACACAGATGAAAAATATAATAATATGTATATTTTAACTTCCAGCAGTAAAATTTAAGGAGCTCTGGTGATGTATTGCCTAAGGCATTTGACTGCTAACCAGGAGGCTGGCTCTTCAAACCCACCAGCCACCCACAGAAGGAAGACTAGGCAATCTGCTTCATAAAGATTCACCACCTCAGAAACCCAAAGGGGGTCACTATGAGTTGGAATCAACTCTATGGCAGTGAGTTCTTTTTTTTTTTTTAGCAGTAAAATTTAAATACATAACCTAATAAATGCTTTTCTCTTTCCTTAATATTCCATTTCTCCAACAGCAGCTTTTTAACTGTCTTTATAGAAGGATAGTATCTTACTTAAACAAGTAAATCTGTATCACTTCATATTGCAAGGAGAAATTGAAAAGTAATGTTAAGAGATTAAAATGATCTAAAATTTTGTCTCCCTCCAGTGCTTCAAACCCCTTTGAGTTGAATTACAAAAACAGGGGATAGGCTGCCCAAGGGAAAGGGAAAAAATTGTTGATGAAATTGATGTACTCACTTTGAGTTTTCTAAGTGGTACAGAATAGTAGAATGTAAAAAACAACTGAATAATTAAAGCTTCATTTTGCAAACCCTTATACATGTTTTATACTTAGAGAAACACTGAAGTATTTTAAGTTTTTCCCATTTCGAATTTCCCCAACTGATCTTTTTAAAAGAAGTTTTCAATCAATATACTGGTCTTTCCTAGTTATTTTATCAATTATAATAGTGCTCATAAAGGTTGAGAAGTTAACGGAATACGTAACAGTATTATTGGAAGTAAGGAAAGAAACATTCCGATTCTCCTGATAAATTTGGCTCCCAAAGGGTCTTCCAACAAGTTAGGTCAGGTTTCAGGTTCCACCCTCTGGTGAGAATTAGCATTTCCAGGTGGTAAAACTCACCTGGGGATCTTGTTAAAATGTAGATTCTGATTCAGTATATCTGGGGTGGAAATGCAAATTCTCAGCAGGGGCTATGAGCCTTATTTCCAATTTCCTTCTCTTGAGAAACCCAAAGCAATCTGAAGTTACAAGCTTTTTTCTAGCTGGGGAGCAGCAAGGAGTTAACCAGCCTTGGTTTACTGAGTATCTCTGTCAGCCTTTTTTATCTGATCCTTCTCTTTCTCCCCCGCCCCCCCCCCTTTGTAAATGTCAACTACTTCCTGATGAGCCTGGTAGTGGTGAATTTCACACCTTTCTTTTCTTTGTGAAGAAACCTGAGTGTTAATGGTAGGGGATTGGGTGCCCTTGTGTGTTCCTGGCTGGCTGTTAGTAAAGCTGAGGGATGCCTGTGGAAAAAAAGTAGGAGAAGGTGCAGAAATTTGAGAAGGGAGACTGGGAGACAGGTTAAAATTGGTCTTACTTAAAAAATGAGTATTTGTTTTATAGTAACTCTAAAAATAGCAATGTTAAAGAAGCTTAATATTGAGAATGAAAAGGAGTCTGGTAAAGACGGGAAGTGAATTCGAAAGCTGAGTCTTAAAAAAAGAAAAAAGAAAAGCAGCAATCAGAAAGAAAAACTGAAGAATCCTTCTCCGACCTTTTATTCTACAGGTGTATTTACAAGACACAGCAATGGAAGCTTGGTCAGTTGATCAGGTCTGCAGCTGGTTGGTGGAGAAAAATTTAGGAGAGCTAGTGCATAGATTTCAAGGTGAGTTGTTGACTGTTGCAAAAATTTTAATTGAGCATCCTTGATATTTGGTGAGTGCCTTCTGTTACTAACATTGCTTTTGTTGCCTAATGTCTGTGTGCCTGTGAATGTGGATATGGGTTGGCTCCAGTAAGAAACTTCCCCCACCTTTTCTTCTTTATTGACTTGCAGAGTTTGATTTGACCCCTAGCATCCACAGGAGAATATGATATTTCAAGAAGAATGCAAATAAAATAAAATCCTAAGAACTCTTTAAGTACATATTTGATATCTGTATTTTTTGTATTGCTTTTGTCCTTAATGCAGAATGCATTTTGTTCAGTGTTAGATTTAAAAGCGTTGAAGATTGGCTGCGAGGTCCCTCATGGAAAAACTGTCTCTTAGGAAGAATCAAGAATGGAGAGGGAATTTAATGTGGAAATAAAAAGTGTTTATTTTTGTCTCCATGCCCTGATACTTCAGAAGCAGATGTAGATTTGGAATCATGTCATAATCAGTTTCATCTTTATAAAAAAACATCTCTTTATAAAAAAAACAGGTGATTTTTGTAACTCTAGAGGAGTTTAGGTGAGTCTTTTTTTTTTTTTTTCCTTAAACTTTTTAGTGTGATTCACGTGAAATTTTACATAGCAGCTTGCTTTGCCATTCATAGAGGAGATTTTTAACCAGAAGTGATTTTTACCTCTTCAGAGTGCTGGTGTTTTGTAGTGTTTACTGGGCAGTTATGTAGAAAGTTTTTTTTTTTTCTTTCTTTTTCCCAGAGGAAGAAGTAAGTGGGTCCGCTCTTCTAGCACTTAATGATCGGATGGTTCAGCAATTGGTAAAGAAAATCGGGCATCAGGCTGTTCTGATGGATCTAATTGAAAAATATAAGCAGAGTAGTCAAGGGCTGAGGTCGCCCGGAAGCCGTGGGGAAACAGCCCTGGTAAGGCAAACAGAAGCAGCCCCGGAGTAAGTATATTTGAATGAGCTTAATTTGGATTCTCTGCTTTCCCAACAGTCCTTTAGACATGAATATAACATGGAATTGAGATGCACATCTCTTTGGAAACTGTGACCATTTCCAGCTGGATTGTGTGTACGATATTTCTGATATTTATATAAATGTCAGTTTTTCTAAGTTTTATGAATCAAGGTACATTTTGTTTTTAATTAATGGAAGAGTTGCTTAAAACAAATTGTTGACCACTTTTTTAATGCTGATTTCAATTGTTAGGGAAGTCCTCTAAGCTGGGAGTTCCTATGTAAAATGCTCTGTAGGAAGCAGCTGAAGTATACATAAAAGGGAAGCTGGAAAGGACTCCTGTAGCTTAGTTTTTTAAAAGTAGAGTGTGGTAGAGGCATTTGTGGCCACTCCTTTGCTTTTCCTAAAACTAACTAATTTATGTATCTATCACCTATCAGTCTATCCAACCATCTAATTTTCCTTTTTCTGCTAAGGATACCTTATAGTAACGAATTTATATTCTTCTCTAGAGACAGTCACAATAGAATGTGCAAAACAGTTGCCACAATGAATTTTGTAATTTCTTAGCAGTATCCCTGGAATGCTAAAAACTATGATAGCATCCCACAAAAATGATGTAGAAAAAATTGTGGTGGCAGATAAAAAGCTTTGAGGTTTTGGGCCTATTTTTAGTCATTTGAGTTCTGCGATGAAAAGGGATGATGATAGGAATTAGCAACCATTTAATCCTACAAATCTGTCTCCTAGGAACATTTCAGACATTCCCATTTCAGTTTAAAATGTTCGAGACATTTTGCAAAGTTTCCGTTGTTGGGTGCTGTCGAGTGGATTCTGACTCATAGCGACGCCATTTGACAGAGGACAACTGCCTCATAGGGTTTTCTTGGCTGTAGTCCTTGTGAAAGCAGAAGTCCAGGTCTTTCTCCCCCAGAGTGGCTGGTGGGTTCAAACCATTAACCTTTCTGTTAGCAGCTGAGTGCTTAACTGTTGTGCCACTAGGGCTCCTTTTGTTTAAGGTTTCTAAGGTTAATGGCTACAGACCAGTTATTCGTTAATTTTTAATATTGTGGTGTTTAATGAAATGCATTCTATGCTTTTACTTAAATTTCTTTTTCTTTCTCCTTGAAGAGCAATAAATATTTAAAACCTGGCTAGCTTCTGATTTATTTGAGGAATTTCTCCTACACTTTGTTTTGACAACATCTCCTAACATTGTTTTGACTTATCTAAATAAGAACACAAGGAGTATGGGTGACAAAGTGGTTAAGTGCTCAGCTGCTAACGAAAAGGTTGGCAGTTCAAACCCACCAGGCACTAGGTGGGAGGAATATCTGGCAGTCTGCTTCTATAAAGATTACAGCCTTAGAAACCAGATAGGGCAGTTCCAGTCTGCCTTGTAGGGTTGCTGTGAGTCACAATGGACTTGAAGGCAATGAGTTTCATTTTTTTGGTTTATATAAACAAATAGTATTCTACATAGGAATTTTGAAGAAGTTTCCATTACATGTTTTTACCCTGTTCTACCAAAGAAAGGGTGTGAACCTCTAAGAGAGCTTAAAGTAGCTTCCCAGCATTCTTGTAGGAATAGGACTTTTGGGTTGGAATTTTCGCTTTAGTTGACTGGAATCTTGATGCTGCCTTAGGCACAGCTTGGGAACAAAACAAAACAAAACAAAACCGGGCAGTCTTGTTTCCACTGCAAATCAGTTTGTAATGTTTTCTAGTAAATGAGAGCTGGCTGGACTGCTGGGAAATCTGGGCTTCCTTCCTGGTTCTACTGCTGATTGGATTGATTATATTAAATGTTGGCATTACTCTTTCTTCTTCTGAAGGCTGTGAAAAGTAATACAGTTGTTGTTAGAGTCTCATCATCTTTGAGCCTCCTCTTTCTCCTGGATCAAATAATCCTGGCTTGAATATTAAGCTTCATTAACCTGGTTAAGAAAATCAGTTTCAAAGCTAACCAAGACTTGGAGCACAGCTGCCCAGGCATTTGTGAGAAGGGGCTATTGAACTCTATCCAGAAAGTAGCAGCTCACTTTAAAGATGATGATGTCTTGCGTTTAGGTTAAATTATCATGGTATAAGGGAGCCCTGGTGGTGCAGTGGTTAAGCGCTCAGCTGCTAACTGAAAAGATGGCTGCTCAAAACCACCAGTTTTCTTTCTCTTGATGAGAAAGATGTGGTTCTGTAAAGATTATAGCCTCAGAAATCCCATGGGACAATACCCTATCCTATAGTTGAAATCGATGTGACAGCATTGTTTGTTTGTTTGTGTTTTTAATATCACAACTACATGTAGGATGAAAATTCTTATTTGTTGTTTTTGGAAAGTCATAATCTATTGTCAAGTGAGAATCATGATGATAGAAGGAAACATGAAAATATGCTATTTAATTAAGCCCTATCAGAAAGAGAAGGAGCTCTGGTGGCCTAGTGGGTGAGGCATTGGGCTGCTAACCGGAAGGTCAGCAGTTCAAACCTACGAGCTGTTCCATGGAAGTAAGATGGGGGATCTGCTTCTGTAAAGATTTATTGCCTTGGAAACCCAACGGGGATCGATATGGGTCAGAATTGACTTGATGGCAGTGAGTTTGGTTTTTTGCTTTATCAGAAACAGCTTAACAAAGAGAGGTAACTTGGCATAGTAGAAGGAACCCTGAACCTCGGTAACAAAATGCTTCACACCAAGCAATGTTCTGCCACCAGATACTCCCCTAACATTGGAGATTTTGCTTGACTTTTCATAGTTTCAGTTTCCTCAGCTGTAAAATGAGGTGGACAGAATAAATGTACTTAAGACCCCTTCTAGGAGCTCTGATGGTGTAGTGACTATGGCATTTGACTGCTAACCAGAAGGCTGGTGGTTCAAACCCACCAGCCACTCCACAGAAGGCAGATTGGGTTGGGCAACCTACTTCTGTAGCGATACCACCTCAGAAACCCAAGGAGGGGTTGCTCGCTTTGAGTCTGGATCTAAGAGTCTATACTGGTATTACAGATCTGGAAGCTTGGTTTCAACTTGAGTGCAAATTCTATTTGATTGCTAATGATTGCCTAGTGTGTTATTTTGAAAAGATTTGTAAGCCACATCTGGGCAGGATGTTTGACATCCTGTTAAGATTTAGGCAAATGATAGTATTGTGCAATAACTGTATTCGCAGTTGCTACTTCTCTTGTTGTTCTTGTTGAAGTTGGTAGAAAAATCACTGGGCAGGAAATTGGGAGAACTTAAAGTCCTGGCACTGCTGCTAAAAAGCTTGTGGACAGCCTTGACCAAGTTGGTTTCCCTTCTGAGTCTCATTTGCATCACTCAGAAAATGAGGAAGTGTGGTTCTAAGACAATGAGATTTCACAGATAATAAAATGCCCCCAAAATAGCAGAGCATGGAGGTCAGGTCTGACATAAACCATTTTATATTTCCAAATAAGAATACTAACCAAAAATTCAATTGTTACCATCATTTCATAAAGAAAAAGGTAATCTTAGCACTAATAATTGCAGCATAGACTAGCGAAAACAGCCTTCTGAGCTGGCATATGGGAACAGTTGAGCAAGGTGACCCTGGAAGGTCCTTCTTTCAGTTCTCTAAGTCATGAGTCTAATGTGGAGTTTGGAAATGAACCCAGATTATAATGTTTGCTATGTGCTGATGCAGCCTTCAGAGTCACAGTCAGATCGGTGGTAATAACTCCTCTTGAATGGTCACTGACCCACATTTTAGACTCTGTTAGGCACTACTGACTTACACTGTGCTTTCTTTGTGACAGGTATGAACAATCTGCCAGTCCAGCCAGTTACAGGGAGCAGAAGCTATCTTTCTATCCAGTAGAAAACCTTGTTAATGGAATGATTGACCAAAGAGTACTGAAACCGAGGTGGGGATGCCAACTTTAAAACATTTCAAAGCCAAGTGATAATATTCTTGTGCATCTATTTATTTATTTACTTATTTATTAGATTTCACGGGTTAAACGTATTTCTAACTTTAACTTTTTGGAAAGAAAAAAAATTTATTTTTAGCAAGTGATCAAGGTATTTGGTAAAAAAAAAAAAAAAGGTTAAGTTTTCTGATCTTTGTTTGGAAAAGAGACATTTCAAAATGATATTTCATGTCTTTGAAGTATATGTTCTTAAAGAAGAAGAGAATTTCTCTGTTGTGAACTGTCCGTGGTGGTTGATATCAGCCACAAAGATGGAATTTGTTCAGTAAATGTTATCCTTCCTATAGAACATGCCTTTGGTGGAGACTTTTTGTGTTTGTGAATTGTGTAATTTTTATTTTTTTATCTTAACTGTTCCTGATAGAGGCACTATTTTGGGACTCTGTTTCTGCACTAGATTTTATAAAGTGGGGTATTTCATTATATGAGTTACACTGAAATGATGGATAACTATAGAGTTAAAAAACTAGATATGGAAAATGGAGCTCAAAGTCCTGAGGATGGTCATAGCTACCATGTGGCCTAGGAGGTCACAGCAGCCTTTAGAGCATTTCATGGCCAACCAGCCAATGTGGCTTACATTACTCCTGAGACATACTGTTTTCAGTCACTAATGAGCAAATGCTTTTCCTTAAATGTACTATCTTTTTTTTTTTTTTTTCACTTGATTGTTGTTGTTTCTCTTGTTGGTGTTCATTTGTTTTTGGCATCAACTTTATTGAGAGATGATTCATGTATCATACAGTTTATGCATTTAAGTGTATAATTCAGAGGCTTTTTATATATTCAGAGTTGTGCAACCATCGCCACAATCAATATTAGGATGTTTTGAAATCCTGCATCCAGTAGTACTCACTCCTCATTCTCCTTCTCTCCAACCCTAGGCGGCCACTGATCTGCTGTCTCTATTGATTTGCCTATTCTGACATTTGTATAAGTGGAATCATACAATATGTAGTCCTTTTTTTTGTGTGTGTGTGATTTGGGTGAAGATTTACAGAGCAAATTCACTTTCCATACAGCGGTTCACATATATTTTGTCTCATGACATTGACCAAAGTTTACCACAATGCAACAGCTTCCCTCCCACTTCCTCCCCATAGTTACCTCTTCCCTGTGTCCATCCCTCCATGCACTCCTGTCCCCTGAGCTGTCTCCCTGTGCATAAGCATCCTTCTT